TTTTGGTTGCAGCCATCATTGTTGTTTGGCGGGTCCGGGCTGGGGATTCGAACCCACCACCTTAGGTGTATGTGGCTGGCGCCTTAGCCGCTTGAGCCACAGGCGCTGAGCCATAAAATGTGGTTTTAAACAGAGTACACATATTTCCCAGTATGTGGCTGCCCCAGGGCTTTAAATAAGTTCCTGCCCACCTAAAATGCTGCCAGATCCAAAGCCTCAACCAAATGCGCAGAGTTACCCTGTTGGGTCAGGAAAACCAAGCCAATCCCTTCAGTGTCTGTCCTGGAATCCACGGGCAGCTCTGATGATCCAAGGTCATAACAGAGTGGAAAATGTCTAGTGGGGATCTAAAAGCTTTCACACACGGACAGCCCTTAAAATCAAGTGCTCTGAGGATTATAAAATGGCTGCTGGGAAGAGGTAACAAAAGTCCACAAATCCACAAAAGGGAAGAAGGGAGGGGAAGCTTCTCAGACTCTGAGAGCATTTCTTTCTCTGGACAGTGGCCCAAGTGCTGCCTTGTGGCACTGCCCGTACTTGGCACTGAATGATTATTAACAGGGGACTGTTACTATGCCTCCCACGTGCTTATGTTATTTTCCCAACTAGATCAGAATGGGCCATGGCTGGGGCTGTGTCTTTACATCAGTCACTACTCTCTGTGGCCATGATTCCTGTGACTAAGTATGAATGCCAAAATTTATGAACCAGATGTTGGGAGCAGGGTTTGAAAGCATGGATCTTTGTGCTACTTCTTCATGTGACAGGCTGCCTAAGCAAGACACGATCTGGGTGCCAATCTATTGGAATTTCTAAGAAGTTAAAAGATTTAGGACATAACAGGAAAACTATTTAAAAACTGTCCCTTCTAGAAAATTCATGGACATATGGTCAAGGCAACCCTAAGTAGCAGTAAGTCTTATACTAGCAGTGTATTATACTTGAAGAGGAGAGAAACTTGATAGATTTTGCTTTTGAAGAGAATAGAAAAGTGATCAACCAAAGCAATCAGTTTTTCTTTTTTTCTTTTCTTTTCTTTCCTCCTCCTTCCTCCCCTCCCCCTCTTCCTTCCTTCCTTCCTTCCTCTTTCTTTCTTTTTTTTTTTAGACAGAGTCTCACTCAATCACCCTGAGTAGAATGCTGCAGTGCCATAGCTCAAAGCAACCTCAAATTCCTGGGCTCTTAGCGATCCTCTTGCCTCAGCCTCCTGAGTAGCTGGGACTACAGGCACCCGCCACAATGCTTGGCTAATTTTTCTATTTCTATTTTATTTTATTTACTTAGTTATTTTTGAGACAGAGTCTCACTTTGTTGCCCTTGATAGAGTACCGTAGCATCATAGCTCACAGCAACCTCAAACTCCTGGGCTGAAGCAATCCTCTTGCCTCTGTTTTTCTATTTTAGTAGAGACAGAGTCTTGCTCTTGCTCAGGCTGGTCTTGAACACCTGAGTTCTAGCAATCCAACTCACCTCGGCCTCCCAGAGTGCTAGAATTATAGTCATGAGTCACTGCACCCAGCCAGGTTTTTCTATTCTTAGTAGAGACAGGATCTCACTCTTATTTGGGCTGGTCTTGAACTCCTGAGCTTAAGCAATCCTCCCGCCTTGGCCTCTCAGAGAGGTAGGATTACAGGTATGAGCCACCTCACCCAGCCCTCAGTTTTTCTTTTGATTGTTCATCCTTAGAGTTGGACAGAGAAGGAACTAATGGAACTAAGAGCTTATGTTTGTTGAGAACCTGCTACTGTCTGTGTATCAAGTTACTCTAGTAAGCATGACATAAACATTACCTTATCCTCACAGTAACCTATGGAAGTAGGTGCTATCATACTATTAATTTTATGGAAATAAAGAGGTTGATATGTGCCTAATTTAGGAGGAATTGGAAGGTGAATTAGGAAACAGGGTGAGACTGTCCATTTTCATGCTCAATAGAACAGTTGACCTCTAAACCCTTAATAACTGCAGGACAGTGCCCTGCCTCTCATAGATGGGAACAGAACCACAGAGAGGGAATGGCAGGCCTGGAGCTAGAACAGAGACCCAGATAAAACGTCTTGAAAACTTTTACTCTTAATGGTTTGTTCCTCATGTGGGCCTATGCAAGATTTCTTATTTATTTATTTATTTACCTTTGAGACAGAGTCTCATTCTGTTGCCCTGGGTAGAGTGCCATGGCATCACAGCTCACAGCAACCTCAAACTCTTGGGCTCAAGAGATCCTCTTGCTTCAGCCTGGGACTGTCCCAGTAGCTGGGACTATAGGGGCTTGGCACAATGCCTGGCTATTTTTAGAGAAGAGGTCTCACTCTTGCTTAGGCTGCTCTCCAACTCCTGAACTCAGAAATCCGTCTACCTCGGCCTCCCAGAGTGCTAGGATTACAGGTATAAGCCACAGTTCCTGGCCCTGGTTTTTCTATTTTTAGTAGAGATGGGGTCTTGCTCTTGCTAGACTGGTCTCAAACACTAGAGCTCAAGCTCTCTACCTGCTTGGCCTTCCAGAGTGCTAAGATTACAGGTATGAGCCACTGTGCCTGGCTCCTACGGAAGGTTTAGGTAGTAAAGTTTTAGCAGCTTGCCAAGATTAGAGCAAGACACTGGAGCATGTGCTCGGTCAGTCTCTAGGGTGGACTTGGTCAAGGACAGCTGCATCAAAATGGACCTGGCGAGCTAACTGTAGAGCAGACCTCCTGGTCAAGGGTACCAGCACCACAACCATTTTAAAGATGGATGCTTAAATATCCAGAGTGTACTATGCTAATCCAATTCATCCCTGACTTGAGCTTTGAGCTTACCTGTACTGTCTGTACGGTGTAAATTTTCTTCAGATTTGATGCACACTCAGCAGCCGTGGCACCAGGGAGAGATCTGAATAGGAAAAAAAAAAAAAGACACAAACCAAACAAGCAGTCAGTGTTAATGAAATATCCCACAATATAATTATACAAGTCTTAATAAAGATCAGGTCTCAAAGCACAGAATTAGGCATTTCTGTGATGCTAGTTGGAATTTAAAATGTGAAATTCCTACTTTATGAAGTCATGTGTTTACTTTCCCTAAAAATTAGCATACTTATTCTGTGGAAATTTAATAGAAAAAAATTAAAGTATATAAGAAAAGCATTTGAAATCTTACAATCACATTAAAGAAATATTTAAATAACATAGTAATAGCCAAGAATTTCCCCTCAGACTTGAAGAAAGAAACTGCCTGTTGTACAGATGGCAATGACCATGTAGGGTCCTGACCTAGTACACTTGAAACTTGTTAGTACCCTGGTGGTAGACATGCATGCTTAAGAAACAAAGTGACCATTTGCCTACGTTAAGAAAACATTACTAGAAGTCAGTTCTGATTTTATCTCAGTTTGCATGAGTTTCCAAAACACTTGCCTTTAGAAAATATGCTGTTATTTTCTAAGGCTCTGTTTAATTAGCTCTGTTGAACTTTATGGTCAGCATGCATTAATCTTTAGTTTGCTATATGTTCCACTAGATGGCAACATACTACAGGTTTATTCACCAGAAATCGATGGAACTGGCTTTACCAAGCACCATTTCCAAGGGAGTAAAATGACAGGGTCTTATTAAACTTTTCAATTCCTGCCACCTTTTCTCTAAGTATAATTAATTAGCAGTTTGTATTCAAGAGCATTGAGGTCCAGTTACACTAGGCCTAAGATGATATTTCAGCCCAGTGTTGTGGTGGTATGTGCTCACAGTCCCAGGTACTAGGAGTCTGAGGCAGGAGGACTGCTTGAGCCCCAGAGTTGAGACCAGCCTAGGCAACATCGCAAGACTGTCTCAAAAGAGATTTCATCATACAAATAATGCTCAAAAGCCCCACGTTTGGTGATTAGTGAGAAATAAGTGGCTTGCTGAGAAGATAAAATACCCCAATCACAACTGACCCACTAGGATCTACAGCCTATAAAAGCTCTTTACCAGCTCCTATCTCCAGGGATCCTCAGCACATTGCACTTTCTGGACAGTTGCTGAACCACTGCACGCTAGAGATGTGCACAGAACTCACAGCAGCTCAGAGAGAGAGGTGCGGCTGAGGTCTGCAGCTGGGTGAGGTCTGAGCACAGCAGGGCTCCCTGCACGCGACTCCTCAGACTACAAGCACTGAATGCTTGCTAGGTGTAGAACCTGAATATCAAAGATGCATTTCTAGACAGAGTCCCCTCATTTGAAGGTCACTGAGGAAGCTCAGTTATGAACTAGTCTGGGAGCAAACAAGGGACTACCACTGACAAGTAAAGTCTGATAAAGAACTCTACACTAATGCAAAATATTTTGTCTATTTTGTCTGGCAAACTAAATAAATTTGATGGACATGGCCTTTTAAAAAAGCAAATTCATGCTTAACCCCCGAGTTTGAGCTTGCACTGAGCAATGATGACGCCATCACGCTCTAGGTAGGGCAAAAGAGGAGCGACTGTGTCTCAAAAAGTAAAATAAATAAATAATCGAATCCACAATAACCACCATGATTGCATTTTGTTGCCAGCCCTGAAGCCTAAAATAACTATGTCAATGGTGTGGTGAAGGCCAGAGGATCAATTAACACCTCGCCAATGACATGGGCCCTGATGAAATGCATCCATTACAATCACCTTAGCTGAGTATTAATTTGGTATTTAATGCAGGTTCTTAGGCCTTTTTCAGCTTACATCATAAAAAGAGCAGGGATAAGAACTTCTAAAACCTCAGCATTTTTCTGAACAGATGTTAACATGGACGGATCTATTACTTTTATATTAAAATCTACTGGCATTTATTCTGGAACTGATTTTTCTTCCTAAAAAGTTTAGCTGACTGCTGCACCAAACACACTCAGCAAATACATTCCTGGATGCCCCAAAGCTCCTTCCCTAAGTGTGTGTGTGCTGTGGGGAATGGGGTGGTAGAATCCAAAGGAAGAAAATGTACTTTGTATTTTTTCATTTTAAAAACTATATATTTCAATATTTGGGGGGGTACTTTTTAGAGTTACACTTCCAAATTTAGGAAGGTTATGGGGGTGTCTAAACTGCGACCCGTGGGCCTCATGCAGATTATCTGAGGCCTCTTTTGCTTATTTGTGGTGTCGGATATCGAGAAAATTATGCACGGACCTATATTTTGCTCATCAGCTTTTGTTAGTGTTTGTGTATTTAATGTGTGGCCCAAGACAACTCTTCTTCCAAAGTGCAAAAGGAAAAAAGATAGGTTGGACACCCCTGGTAGAATGAGTGCAACTTGAATGCTCACCTCAGATGGCATTTTATCAATTTAAGCAAAAACAAAATGTAAAGCTAACCTGGGGGAGAAAACACTACTGGCGAACATTTGCTGTACATGCCTTTTAAAATGCCTGCCTCCATCATCTGGTCTTATATTTTAGTGCAGGAGATAATTACAGAAAGTCATTTAGGTGCTCTCAGTGTCAGTATTTGGGTTTTTAATTTTTTTAATTTTTATTAAATTTTTAATTTTTTTTTAGAGAAATTGAGTTTCCAAAGCCCCCAGAAGGGCTCTAGAACAAAACAACTTGGTAGGGCTTATGAGTGTCAGACAGACCAGCACATTCCGGCTAATGTGCAGGTGTTGAATTTTTGCTGATGTGCTGAGCATCTGACCTCCACCACTTGCAACCCTACTTATGCAACTGCCAATATTATTTATCACCATTCTGCAGGTGAGTAAGCAGGGGCCTATGGAGGTTTGGCAACTTACCCAGGCCACAAAAATCTGATCTGAATATAGGTAACCTGTCTGCAATTTCCTGTTCTTCACTCCTCGCTGCTGATTCTGCCTGATCAAGCTACATATTCACACTCACACACACACACATTTTTTTGGAGTCTCACTCAGTTGACCAAGGCTAGAGTGCGACTGGTATAATGGGATTTTGCAGTTGACTCTCAGTGCATTCGCATCAAAACCACTATTTTTGCTGAATTCCATTTTTCTTATTTTTTTTTTTTTTTGAGACCGAGTCTCACTACGTTGCCCTCAGTAGAGTGCTATGTCATCACAGCTCACAGCAACCTCAAACTCTTGGGCTTAAGCGATTCTCTTGACTTAGCCTCTTAAGTAGCTAGGACTACAGGCGCCCACCACAACACCCAGCTATTTTTTGTTAGTTTGTTATTGCAGCTGTTATTGTTGTTTAGCAGGCCCTGGCCAGGTTCAAACCCGTCAGCCCCAGTGTATGTAACACTGAGACACCGTAACCACTGCACTATGGGCGCCAAGCCTGAATTCCATCTTTAATACAGGATTGTACCTATACATGATTCTTAGAGAAAACAATATTAAAATAGCCTTCACAATAGAGCAGGGCTGGGGAGCTTCTCACAAAACCCAAGAGGATCACAGTCAATGACAGCTCTATTTTCACAGATTAACACTTGATGATACTGATGTGTTGGGATTTCAAAGGAAACACATCAAGTTCCATGGACATTCAGTTTCCTAACTTCTTCATGTTTTACGAATTATCCAGGCTTCACAATAACAAAGTAATGATGGCAGAAGTATTAATGGTGTAAATGGTTGGTGTGGCTGGCCAGCAGAAGGCATGGCATTCTGCTCTGTGCCAAATCTGATTCTGACCATCACTGAAAAATACCAGTATGCCTAAACATCATGACCTTGGACTTCTTTAACAAGTAAAACCGGGCTATAGCCACAGAACCAATTTTAAAAGGGCAAACAAGCCAAGATTTGTAAATGATCTGTGCACAGGTCAGTCTGTCCTAGACGTGCTGATTCCAAGTTGAAGCAGAAGCTGCACCATGCACTGTTACTGTTTTTAAAGCGGCAGTGCAGGCTGTTCAGTAAAGTCGCAGCCTTGGTAGCAGGCAGCCATACCTCTCTTCTTGCCACTCTGAGACACACTGTAGCAACTGGAAGGTAAGTGTTTATAAGTGATTTCAAAGAAAGAAACATTTTTACTGGTATCACATATATAGCATATTTGTTTATCTTTAAGAAATCTTTTTTATTTCATTCATGTTATGAACCATAACCTCCCCAGCAGACTCCTAATCAAAACCCTCTCTCTGCAGACCAAGGATGCTCGTCTGCAAGGATGTTGCCCCTGGGGTACATTTGGCAGCATCTGGAGGCACTTTGGTTGTCACAGAGAGGGGATGCCACTTACATCTAGTGGGTAGAAGCCAAGGATGTGGCTGAATACCCTGTAATGTACAGGGCAGCCCCCAGAGCAGAGACCGATCTAGCCCTGAATGCCAATCACGCCAAGGCTAAGAAACCCTGTAGTAGATACGGACTAAACCAGTGGTTCTCAACCTTCCTAATGCCACAGCCCTTTAATACAGTGACCCACAGGTTGAGAACCGCTGGACTAAACAGTTTCAGATGATTTTAAATTGACTTAATCAACAAGAATTTGTTGCACACCACTTTTAGCTGCTGAGGGTACAGGAGTGACCATTCTTGACAAAACCCTGTCCCCTTGGAATTTATGAGTTATAGAAACAACACACCCCTGTCCCCTGAATTTCCCAGGCCTCTGAAGGCAAAGAAACAATGGTCATATCCTTTTCTATTTGCCTGGAAGGGAGGAGGGAGGTAAAAAAGCTAAGAGGATTATGACCATTCTTAGAAGAAGGTATAGCCAGAGCTGTGAAAATCACAGAACCTAAGAAACAGGATCTATTTTCACACTCTCTGAATTCTATGCCACCCTCCCGGAGTATACGACTAGAGACAAGAATACAGCCATGGAACAATAAACGCTGTCTGGATGGATCGGGTTAAAGAATTTTAAATGCTCCACCAGGAGCTTCCCCTCTATTTGATAGATGAATTGATGCAATAAAGGCTTTCTTTTACTGAGTATCATACGAAAAGGTT